ATGCCCATTTCGTGAATTAAAAAAAAAAAAATCAAAACAATCGAAAATGGTAGCAATCTCATCTCCCTCCTGCTCTCCTCGATGCCCTAATTCTTATCCTTTCGCCTCGCTCTCTGCTCTCTCCCCCATCCAATCCTTAATTCCCTTCTCCTCCTCAACGAGAAACTGGGCCCACAAAACCCACCCCCTTCTCCGCTCCTCTCCTTGCTCCGCCTCCAAACAACAACACCAACAGGAGAAGCCCTCACCATCATCAAGAAGGAAGAAACCCTCACCCTCCAAGAAAAAGAGACCTCCACCCCCGAAGCCTACCATTTCAAGAAACAACGAAGACGGCGATGACGATGACGGTGAGGGAAGTCAATCAAGCTACCCCTCTCCACTTCCGAAACCCCCGGCTGGATTCGTCCTGGACCCACACGGCCGGGTCCTCATGGCCTCCTCCAAGCGAATTGCTACCATTGTATGGTTTTTTTTTTTTGAATTATTGAGCTAGGTTTTTTTTAGGGTTTCGAGTTAGGGGAACTGATTGATGTGTTTGCTTGCAGGTTGATGCTGCGAACAATCTGCCGCTTGAGTGTGTAATTAGGAGGGTTTTTGACAGCTCGGGAGGTCAGGAGTGCATGCTTCTTTGCCCTGTCGATACGTGAGATTCCTTTTTCACCCCCCCTAGTTGAAAACCTTTTTCTTTGGAATGTGGTGTTTTGGCCAATGGAGCGACTTTTTTTTTGTTGCTGCAGGCCTGTGCAGATTTTGAAGAGCTCAAACTTTAATGGATGGTCAGCTGTAAGACTCTTTTAACTTTGGCTATTATTTCACTAACTAATAGTGTTGAGCCTATATATCAACTGCTTTTTCATTAGTATCAATATACATTTTGTAGCTGTGTTTCTTTGTGTATAGGACGTTAGATTCTACTAACTCCTAAAAAAATATTTTAAAAAATTTTTGGGCTTGTTAGAGAAGCTATGTCTCTCAAAATGTCTGACACACATAATTACCTCAATGCTAGCTAATAATCTCGTTTACGTAGACCTTTCTTATGAGGAAGTAAATTTACTATTAGTTTGTTCATCTAGTCCCTAACAATACTATCTTTGTTTTGCTTTCTAATTGTTATGATATTTGGTGTTATTTGAAATGTTCCAACTTGTCAGGGTTAGTCCATTTCTTGACCAATTCTTCTACGACTTCTGTGGAACTTTATGTGTCAGCTTATGGCCAGGGAGAGGAGTGTTCTGTGACGCCAGTAATAAACATTTTATCATGCCCTTCAGAGATTGGTTCAGGAAGCGTGGGAGAAGGGAGTGAACATAATTCAGTCAACTATAAGGAAACGATTGCAAGGGAGTTTTTTGTGCCTTTCCTACTGGGTACAAGAGGTTTATGGTTGTAACTCCTAACACCTCTAATCTTCTTCAAGCCTTATTTCCTAACTAAAAAGATACTTCGAAAGGCATTTGCTATTCTATTTAAAGCAAACATTAGCTTTCCTGATGCCTTGATCCATTATCAACAATTGGTGATCAATATATCCTAGATAACTAATTGTATCTCATTACATTGGGGTTCCATGGTGCTTTTGTAGGCTGCGATACAAGTGTTCCTTATGGGGGTAAATCCATCTCCCTTCCTTTTCCTTGAAGCTCCTGACAGAACCTTTGTTTATCTGAGAAATTCCTCAAAAAGTCTTTGTCAATCTGTTTTGTAGAAAACATTATATTTCAAATATAGTTCCAATCTCATTAAGTAACCGGTGCACATTAGAGGAGCTTAACATAAAGGTAAATGGTCAATAAAGAGTCTCCTGGTGTTTACTAGTGCCTCATACAAGAGTCTCTTATGTGGTAAATTCAAGCTTTCCCTTTATTACCTATATAAGTTTGGAAGACTTCCTTACAAGAAAAATTCCTCTAAAAGTCTTTGCAATCTATTTTAGAGAAATATTTATATGCCCCAATTCTCAACAATTATCTGCTGCCTTTTGAAAGACATTTAAGTACATGAAAAGTAAATGGCTAAATGAGAATTTTATAGCGTATTCCTAAGGGCCTGTTTGGATGATAAGGAGTATTAGAAGTAAGAAGTTACTTAATAAGTAACTTCTAAAATTTTGAAGTAGTAAGTAGCGGAAGTGATACTTTTTTTGTTTGTTTCACATGTTTTTGGGAGTAATGGAAATAGTTCTTCCACGTCATTCACTTCTTTTGTTTGGATAGCATTTGAAATATTGTTAGGAAATAACTAATACTTGGTTTAAACGATTACCTCCCTTTATAATAATTGTTAATAAGTGATTACCTCCCTTTATAATAAAAATTATTATAACACTTAACAAATATTGTAGCATTTTAGATTGAATCATGACAATGGATAATACTTTACAGCGCGTTAATATGAATTTTCAATTTGAAAATAGCTTAGATGTTTTTGGTGCATGAAGTCTTTTAGAGTTCTTGGGTTCAAAAACAAATTAGATTAAAAGAATGAGGCTAAAATAAAAAAATGAAATGAACATGATTCCTTTTATTAAGAGGTGTTATGTGCAAAAGAATACCTGCAAATATCAACCCTCGGTATGAATCAGTGTTGTAAAAAGCAGCAAAAAGCGCCGCTATAACATCGCTAATCGTGTAAGTGGTGGTTTACCGCTCCGATAAATAGGATAGTGGTATGTTGTTGCGGGAAAAACCACTTTTTACTCGAAAAAGCGGTGATTAGCACGAAATAGCGGTGTTTAGCGCTTAGAAGCACTAAACAACGCAATTTTGTTTTAGAAAATCCCTACCCGAACTTGAACCGAAACCATAAAACAAAAACCCATCTTAACTCTCTCTCTCTCGCCTCTCTGATTCCTAACTCGTGCCTTAGCTGCCTCTTCTATCTCTCTCTCCTCTCTCTCTCTCTCACTCACCTCCTCCGGTGACCACTTTCAACGCTACTTCCGGTCAACGCCGCCTCTAGTGAACGCCACCTCCGTCAGACCCAAAGGCACGCTCTCCTCAAATCCATCATGCCGAAAATTGCAAAGAACCACAGTCTGAGACAATTAATACTACCAGTGGCCTTCACAGCCCCCAAATTCACCGCAACATTAGCCTCTGATTCCCTTCCAACCACAAAACCCCCCTCCTCTCTCGACCTAAAATCATCTACATGATTCGTCACGATCGTCAGCGACGATCCCAAAGACTGTGAGAGTAAAGTTGCAGGCATTAGATCTCCCAATGCCATTCCAACCAAAACCCTTCCTTCTAGCAACTTCACCCAAACCCTAGCCTCGCCATCAGCACCAAGTCTAAAACCCTAACACCGCCTATCGCTGAGAATCCTCCGATTGCAAGCGATCTTCGATGAGTATCAATCGATGAAGCCGCTGGACCAGCGGCGGCGGAACGCAATCCAGCTCCTGAAAACCCTACAAGTTACTAATTTTGGAAACCCTAGAATCGTTTGATAGTGAAAGTGAGAGAGTGAGAGAGGAGAATTAGGGTTTCGAGAGTGGAGGCGGAGAGAGGGGAAGGAGCTTGGAAAATAAATAGGAACTTTTCTCTCTCTAGAAAAAAAAATTTAAGAGAGAAAATGGATCCAAAATTCTAAAGTACTATTTTCCTTCTTTTTTCCCCCGAACTTTTGGTTATTGTTGAAGAAAAAGGAACTGGGGTTTAACTGCATTTTTTCATATTAGTCCCTGGGAGATTTTTTCTAATTACATAAAGTTCCTCAAATACTTTTCAAATAATACTTATGAACCTTTATGGATATCCAGAAAACTATCTTGAATATCCTTTTTTTTTATTGATTGCAATGCTTAAATTGTGAAACATGGTTGTTTTTATATATTAAACTTCCAATTATCACTTCATATTCACAGCATATCAGGTGACCACATTTGAGATTTTTTATTTTTTAGAATATTTAAATATATTTATATTTGATCGCTATTTGACTATGCGTTATTTTTCCGCAATAGCCCCAAATAGCCTTAGTGGTACCTCTCTGCAATGCGACGCTATCCGCTATTAGCAACTTTGGTATGGATACCTAAATTCACTTCGCTATTTCATTCACTTCTGAAGTGTCTCCGAGTCCTCAAGGGCATGAAAGGATTTTGGGGAGCGGAGGTGACACACCAGCAATTGAGGAAATAAAAGAACGGGTGTTTCTCAAGAAACAAATAAGTTTTTTTGCTCGGAAATGGTAAAAGTAGTCTTTACTTTCTTTACTTTGGCTACTCATAACTACTTCCGTGCAAACAAACATGCCCTAATATTTCCACCCCAACCAAATGGCAACAAATGAAAGTCATTATTATTAATACTTGTCTTCAAAATTTTCAATTTAGTCAGTACGTAAGTTGAGGCTTCTTAGTCATCCACTGAACAAATCGAAGTCCAATGGTTTTTCAATGACCATGAGTTGAGGCTTCTTAGTCATCCATTGAACAGATCGAAGTCCAATGGTTTTCTCGATGACCATAAATGGTATAGCACATGGTGTTGATCTGTATTTCTTTGCTATACTTGAGAACACAACATACTTCCTTCAGTTGTTAGATTTACATTCTAATGTTATTTCCCGATGATATCTTCTTTAAATAATGTTAATTTTTCCATCAGTCATGTTTGAGAATAGAGATGCAAACATACACGTATCTAAGGGGTAAAACAAATACAATTCACCCAGTGATCAGCCTCCTCGTAGGTGAAAGTGGTGAAAGTGCCTGTAGGATTTGGGTGTAAATAAACAACTTTGTTTCTCTTATAGGAGACAATGCTCAGTTGCAAGATGTTTAGATTTGTTGAATGTTACTATTTGCCTCGGTTACTAATTTTGGATGATAACTTATAGATAAAAGATATTTGGTATTTGCTGGTTATGGCTACTCATAGTGTTGTTCGACAGGAATTCGCGATATAAATTGTGGAAATTTGAATTTCAGTGATGTCTCCATTCTGATTGTTTGTGAATAATTCTTTTCTAGATAAAAGGCTGTTAGTGAGCTGAGATGATGTACATCCATAGATCACTAATAGACTTGTAGACAGTTAATATAGATTGTTTTGATTTGATTGGTTTATCTTTCTTTTGTTGACATGGAATAGACATGTAGTGCAAAGGTACCAATTAATATCTTCATAATTTCCTTAGAGGAAAGGAAGTTTTCTAATAATGCCATATAGAACCTCACATATATAACAAAAAAAAGGGGGAAAAAAGGGAAACACAGAAGAGAGGATAGTTTGAAAAAAATAACAAAATTTTTTTCTTCCTTTTCATTGTGTTGTTTTACCATTCTGTATCACTAACAAATTCTTTGTTGGTAATTGCATGTACAAGAGTTATCACCATGATATCTA